GGATGCTGTCGAAGTTCCTAACGTTGGATGCTGTGAAAGTTTCTAACGCTGAAGGCTGTCAAAGCTTCTAAGGCTGGATGCTGTCGAAGTTCCTAACGTTGGATGCTGTGAAAGTAACTATAAAGTGTAGTGTTGCCAAAGTAGCGAAGGTTTGTTGCTGTGAAAGTAACACCATTGACTGCTCTCGCAATACTCTCCTTCCAAACAAAAACATACAGCCATAAAGCTAGCTGAAAATATCAAGCTTTTTCCCAACAATCGTTTGGCTGATTATAGATAAATATGGAAATATTTTAACGTTATATATATTTACAAATAAAAAAATAATAGGAACAAGTACTAATAGCAGATGAAATATCAATATTAATATTTAATGTATAATTACCAATATTAATATTTAATGTAGAATCATTATATTTTTGATCAGACTATTTGTAATAAATAAATGAAAAATAATGCTTTAAATAATAATGATAATAATAATAATAATAATAATAATAATAATAATAATAATAATAAAAACTTATAATATTAACAATACTTAAATTGACATGAACTCCGTAAAATAAATATTCTAAAATATTTAGTAGAACTGTTAAATTATTCACTGACGATCAGAGTCTTATAATCAATTCTAATAGAGGAGAGAAATATCCAATTTTCCCAATTTTTCGTGTCGTAGTCCAACCATGAAGTCTTGCTGAAGTTAGTCTTCCTCGATGGTGAAGTAGTAAGCTGATCTTCAAGTTACAACAGTGGCACTGTATGCCTGGCACCAAGGCATATATGGTGCCAGGTGTACGTCGATGACACCGGAGGACTTAAATATTAAATCAATTCGACTATGATAATTGAGCCGAGGTAAATAGATTAGCGAGGTTCCCCATGAGGGTTAAAATTATATGCAAATGTCATGTATTTGACCTACATATATTACACAGATATATGTATTCACGGGGATAAAGGTGTGATTCGATACTCAAGTGTTTTAATAATTAATGCAGTATCAGAAACGTCAATATCTTTGAAAACATCAGAAGCTTCAAAATTTTTTTGAGACACCAGAATCATGACTCTGGTGTCTCAAGAAAAAAAAATTGACTCCAGAAGCGTCTTCATGAATTTTGACTTCAGAATCGTCAGTATTTTAAACACACCAGAATCATCAATTTTATTGACATACCAAAAAGCTTAAGTATAATCGGCTGCTATAAATGTAAAGTAGACTGAAATAATTGTAAAATTCCACGAGGGTGGAAACGTGTCCCACCCTCGTATGATTAACAGCCTAGCAAGCGACAGTATGCAATTGTTGCCATCTTAACATTTTGCCATCTTAACATTTTGCCATCTTAACATGTTGCCGTCTTAACATGTTGCCATCTTAACATGTTGCCATCTTAACATGTTGCCATCTTGACATTTTGCCATCTTGACATGTTGCCATCTTGACATGTTGCCATCTTGACATGTTGCCATGTTACCAGCGAATATCTACGCATCACTAATATGTATATAAAGCGAGTATTAAATGCATTTATATATACTTTCACACACACACACACACACACACACACACACACACACACCTATTCACTTACTGTTTATATCTATAGATAAGTATGTTTTACCCTACGTTTGTAGCTAGGCTCAGCTTTGCAGGGTGACTGTTGGTTGTCAGGGGACTGTCATAGTGGGGCCAGGTTCTCCTCCCACGGCTGTCCTCCTTAATACAAACCTCCAAGCTCGCTAAGTACCAGACTCTCTTCTCACCTAAAATTCATCAAGCATATTGTGTAGTGAAGATGGTTACAGTGATGAGGTTAGTATATTGTGATGGTGGTTATATTGATGAAGGATTTGTGTAGTGAATAAAGTTACAGTGGTTGTGAGTAGTGAAGTTGGTTATAAGGACGAAGATAGTGTGCAGTGAATGTAGTTACAGTGATGATGGCCTTGTGGAGTCTAGATGGTTACAATGGTGTAGGGTGTGTGCACTGTAGATGGTTACATTGATGAAGACAGTGCTGATGATAATTAAAGCTATGACGATTATTTGTAGTAAAGATAGTTACAGCAGTGAAGATAAAGAGCACAAAGATACCCCATCCGTATACTCAGAAAGGCGTAGCATCAACAGCATCACTTCAAGCAAAAAAAAGCATCAGCACGAGATGACAACAACGACATCAACAGCAGACAAAACGACAACAGCATGAAGTTCCAGAGAAAAAACAAAAGAGAATCAGGCTTCAGTATTCATGGCACACCCCGCCATTTGTAATATCTTGCGTGGCGATGCAGTATTCTGATACCCCCTGAACGCTATCAGCCCCTGCTATCGCTGTATCTATCGATGATTTCTGTGTTGTTTACTAGGATTTCTCTGGCGATGGTTTGGTTGTGGGAAGAGATTATATGTTCCTTAATGGAGCCCTGTTGCTTATGCATCGTTAAACGCCTAGAAAGAGATGTTGTTGTCTTGCCTATATATTGGTTTTTTGGAGCTTACAGTCCCCAAGAGGGCATTTGAAGGCATAGACGACGTTGGTCTCTTTTAAAGCGTTCTGCTTTGCGTCTGGAGAGTTTCTCATGAGTAGGCTGGCCGTTTTTTCTGATTTTATAGTAAATCGTCAGTTGTATCCTCTGATTTTTGTCTGTAGGGATAACGTTTCTATTAACAATATCTTTCAGGACCCTTTCCTCCGTTTTATGAGCTGTGGAAAAGAAGTTCCTGTAAAATAGTCTAATAGGGGGTATAGGTGTTGTGTTGTCTCTTCAGAGGTTGCATGGCGTTTCACTTTCCTTCTTATGATGTCTTCGACGAAACCATTGGAGAAGCCGTTGTTGACTAGGACCTACCTTACCCTACAGAGTTCTTCGTCGACTTGCTTCCATTCTGAGCTGTGGCTGAGAGCACGGTCGACATAAGCGTTAAAAACGCTTATGTCGACCGTGCTCTTATGCATCATTAGTGAGCATTCTGCATCTACATCCGCCACCAAGATAATATTAACAAAACAAGATTAAAACACAAGAATGTAACAACTCTTGTATATATCTCAAAAAAAAAAAAAAAAAAAAAAAAAAAAACCAGTGCACTAAAACAGAAGCGATAAATAAGCAGGGGAAAAAAGGAGATCTCCTCCTCAATTCTAAACGTAGACCCAAATATCACAGGAAAAAGGTTATCATGTATAACCAAACTCAATTACGGGCTCACCGTGCTACATGGACACTTCGTCCTGAGTAGCTAAATCTGAAACAACAACATTCTACATTCAAACTTAGTTTTGTCTTCATTAACCACCAGTCCCATATGGTGACCCATTGAACTGTTTGAACCTTTGAAATATCTTTGCCCTGAAACAAAATATCCTCGGCATATATGATCGGAGTTACCCCATTTGAGAATCTCTGAGATGCTATCATATTCATTAGCACATTAAACAGCGTGGGTCTCAACACTCCTCCCTGAGGTGTGCCGAGTTCAAAAGATCTCACACCTGACATACAACCCTTGATACCACACCTAAGCCTTCCTTTCGTAAAGATTATCCCCTATCCAGCGCAATAATCTCCTTTTAACACCAAGACCAGCTAATTCATATAAAATAACCTCTTTGTTGGCTTTATCAAAAGCTCCTTGTAAATCAATAAAAAATTCTATAATAATCATTATCATTAACTAGACATTTAATAATACAGTCAGAGGTACTTTTTCCTCTGAGGAATCCGAATAAATTACTAGACAGCTGATCACCTATTATATATAAAAGTTTATTTAAAATGATCATCTCCATCATTTTACAAAAACACGAGGTTAAAGACACAGATCTGTACTCTCCATTAGCTTTAGGAATAGGGATGATCATAGCTTTTTTTCCATTTACTGGGAATTCTGCCCTCCTTATAACTAATATTAAAGAGGTCTATCAGTGGGCTTTTCGTCATAATGGCAAGTTTATTAGGTATTTCATAAGTTACTCCATCCTCCCCAGGGGCGGTAGATTTCCCAACTTTAATCGCCGTTATTAGTTCTTCTCTGGTAATACCAGAGAAGAACCCGAACAAATTGCTGGCCATTTTTGCTTCCTGACACTGTTTATTAAACCATGGGTTATTATATTCCCTTTACTGTTGGTATAAATCTCTCTTCGGCCTCCTGGTATTTCCGTATGACTAGGTCCATCATATCTTGGACTGTTTTTCATCTAATTTTTTCCTCCCACTGCACTTTTTCACTCCCACTCCCAGATAATCCCTTATCCTCCTGTAGTCAACTCTCCTTTCCCAGACTTCTTGTCCTATGGTCACAAGTTTGAATTCCATCATGTAGTCAAAGACTAGGACACAATTTTTCGCTGGCCCCTAGAGGTATTTCATGCTCCAAATTCTTGATGAATTCTACGTTCTGGGTGAAAATCAGGTCTAATAGACTCGGTGCATCTCCTCCTCTTTCCTTTGTGTCTTCCTTCACATGTTGTGTTAGGAAATTCCTGTCTATAACATCTACTAACTTTGCTCCCCACGTTTCGTCCCCTCCATAGGAATTCCTTGATTCCCAATTTATCTCTCCATGATTTAGGTCCCCCATGACCAGCAGCTTTGCTCTCATTCTGTGAGCTGATGTTGCTGCCTTCTGCAGTTCATCTATGCATGCCTTATTGTTGTCATCATACTCCTGCCTGGGTCTTCTACTGTTTGGTGGGGGATTGTATATTACCAAGATCACAATCTTTCTCCCATCTGCTGTCAGGGTTTCATGTATGAAGCTTGTGCTCTCATTGGTAACCCGATTTCCCAGGTCTTCAAACTTCCATTTCCGCTCTATTAGGAGTGCCAATCCCCCTCCCTATCTCTCTCCTCTGTTTTCTTATCACCTGGTAGCCCTCCAGAAAGTTAGCATCTGAGATCACGTCATTTATTTTTAGTTTCCACAATTGCAACTATGTCAGGATCTGCCTCACTTACTTTTGATAAGAACATAACTGCCATCAAGAGCCCACACCACACACGGGTCTCTGCGCTTCACCAGGTGAGTTGTGCTGCCAGACAGGTCTTACAACTTCACGATGAGCTGATTAACTTGTTTATTGGTCACAGTCTTACTATGTAATAACCTCGTTTAAAGAGAAATCGACCACGATATCAATAATAATAATAAGGTCTCGGCGAGTTAGTAAAATTGGAGTTGGTTCATCTCTCTACTCCAGCTGTACTGTGTTGGATCAACACTTCTTTACTGCTAGTAGTGCCTTTGATTGTTTATTTATTGTTTTTGCTAACACGGTATCATAATTCTTCTGAAGTTTTCTGTGGAAAATTTACACACACGCACCTCCCCTAGACTTGACTTTTCGGTTTGCTATGTTGTCATGTTTTTGCATTATTTTGGCATACCTGGTTGATACCTGGTTGATGGGGTTCTTGGAGTTCTTTTACTCCCCAAGCCCGGCCCGAGGCCAGGCTTGACTTGTGAGAGTTTGGTCCACCAGGCTGTTGCTTGGAGCGGCCCGCAGGCCCACATACCCACCACAGCCCGGTTGGTCCGGCACTCCTTGGAGGAATAAATCTAGTTTCCTCTTGAAGATGTCCACGGTTGTTCCGACAATATTTCTTATGCTTGCTGGGAGGACGTTGAACAACCGCGGACCTCTGATGTTTATACAGTGTTCTCTGATTGTGCCATTGGCACCTCTGCTCTTCACTCATACGCTCAGCATATAGCAATTTATTTAACAGTATCATTTTTGGCTTAAATTCTCAGCAGGTATTCTGTTCTTAACTTCTTGCTCTGGTAAAGGAAGCAGTTTCATTCAGTGATTTGTCAATCACTAATGCCCAGACGTTTCTGTTATTGCCTTCCTGTAAATGTTATTGTTATTTATTATCCTATAGTCTCTTGATTTCTCATGTTTAGTGAATTGATAGATTCCTAATGTGTTTCAATGCATATAGTTATATTAAGCCTTAATGTCAGCCATTTATTTAATCATTGAATTCATATTTTAGGAAAGTTAAATATTCACCTAGTAGGAATATAATTAAATTTCTTGTTCATAATTCTTGGTATCAGACGTCTCAAGTCAACTTGACATCAACTTAACAGTTCCTTGTGCTAATTTATTTATTGAGTTTCTTATATTAATTGTAACATTTTGATATTTTGTGCCATTAACTTTCGCGTTCCGTGGAAACGCGCGGTTGACAGGGGGGTCGTGGCCTCTGCGTGCGGGTAAGCGCGCGATGACACCCAAATGTGTATACTCGTTCTAGCTTTCTCACCTTAATTCTCGTGCTACGTCGCTCGTTTTGGTATCATTGTGTTCGCAATTAAATTCTCTACAGGTGTGTATAAATATAATGTCCAAAAGCCTAGCGTGACTCCCAACAGCAAAGCCTAAACTCGGCAAAAACGCACAAAATCAGTAACATGTGCATTCTCGTTCCATTTTTTTACCTTAATTCTGGTGCTACGTCGCTCGTTTTGGTATCATTGTGTTCGCAATTAAATTCCCTACAGATGTGTATGAATAAAATGTACAAAAGGCTGGAGTGCCTCCCCGCAGAAAAGCCTAAAGTTACCCGTGAACGAGCACCATTTTGTACATTGCAACCTAATGTTCAACTCGTTCAATTTGATAACATCAAATTTCGTGCTACGTCGCTCGTTTTGGTATCAAATTGTTCGCAATAAAAAGGCGAGTATTTTAGAACTAGTCCCAGAATAATAGAGCAATAACTGGATTTTTAACAAATATTTTAATTCTGGACGCTCATCATCACAAATTTATTTATATCTTTCCAGTGTTCTGACATAAATATTTGTGTTACATCTTTCATTTTGGTATCAAATTGTTCGCAATAAAAAGGCGCGCATTTTAAAACTAGTCCCAAGATAATAGGACAATAAATAGAATTTTAACAAATATTTTAATATTCGGACCATAGGCCTATTTATAATATTTCAAGTGTTTGGACATCAAGTTTCATGTTATATCTTTGATTTTGGTATCAAATTGTGTGCAATCTAAAGGCGCTTATTTTAAAACCACTACCAGATTGATCTGATAAAATTTAAATTTTTAAAATATATTTTAATGAGCGACTCAGTACTGCGTCGTTGGAACACATTCAGTAGAAAAATGAGTGACGAGATAGTCAGTCTGCGGAACGCGAAAGTGTTAAATTAATTAAATAATTAAATTGAAACTCGGTAATAGTTTTTTAGCAGTTGTTGCATGTTGCCTACAACGGTAATTAATTACATTTTTGTTGTGTGGAATAATTTTTCTCAGAGTATACATTTATGCAAGGTGTGACTCCCTGATCTTTCATGGCAATGCTCAGTTTCTAGAGTTCAAAACAGTTGAAACTAAGACAAAGGCTAGTTACCCTACTCCTACTGATGCTGTCTATTTAGCATTTGCTAGGTCAGCTATTGATGATACTCGAGGAGATTCAAAAGAGGGTTGAGAAGAAAGCTTGAGATGATATCCACTCTTGGGCAAAATTTAAGAGCTTTTCAAGACGTAGGTTTGTCAACGAAGGAGTTCTAGGCATATAGGCCCTAACGCAAAGGATCATAAAAATCTACAAAACCGTTTAAGAGAGTCTCTTATGAGTTCAGCATCAAGTAAGATCAGTCATGCACTGGAGACTGTTGTTCCAAATGCACTAGGATTTGGAACATTACAAATGTATGCCCCTAGGGAAATTGTTACCTCGGAGAAGGAACAATTTGGCCCCCACAGGAAATAGGGCAGGTTTTTGAAGCCATGAAAATAAGGTAGAGCTTCTGAATACAGCATTTCCTTTCACACAGACCACACAAATTTAAGCCAAGAAAGGCCCACAGGTGCCCATGACCAAGAAACCAATCTTCCTCTCAATAAATATCTTAGTCATTTTAATTCACATCAGAATGTTCAAGCTTGTTATAATTGTTGAAAAAAAAACTGGTAAGGGATTGTCGGTCCGCACCTTAAATGGTTGACCTCGAAAAAATGGTCGAAAATGGTAAAAAAAAATGACCGCCAATGAGAAATATGTGCATTGTAACTTAAAGATGCTTAGGGTGACCTGAAGATGTATACCGTGACCTCAAGGTGACCTGAAGATGTATACCGTGACCTCAGGGTGACCTGAAGATGTATACCGTGACCTCAGGGTGACCTGAAGATGGTTAACGTGACCTCTGGGTGCCTGAAGATGCTTAAGTGACCTCCGGGTGACCTGAAGTTGTATAACGTGACCTCAGGGTGATCTGAAAATGTAAACCGTGACCTCAGGGTGACCTGAAGATGATTAACGTGACCTCAGGGTGACCTTAAGATACTCAGGATGACCCCGAGGAAGTACAGAGTGACCCCCGGATGTGTAGGGTGGCCAGTTGTAATACCACGTCATTTTTGAGAGAGAAAGTGAGGGAGATGTAAGTACGCTCCACCATAATAATGTAAATTTATATTTTCCAGAAAGCAGACAACTATGACGTCAAATATTTACATATGGATGAAAATATGGGTCTGGGCGATGTTATGGGCGTGTTCTACGCCAGCATCCAGGGCTTATGTGGAGGAGAATTTGACTGTGGGCGTGAATTCCGAGTTCTGCGAACACAATGACACCACACTCTTCTGTGATTATAAAACTACAGACAAGGTATCCGTTTCATTATTGTTTTAGTGTATTAATAAAATCGGATGCTACTCCGCAGACTCTTTCCACAGGGTCCGGTCGCCCATTCGGCGGTCGATCATCGAAATGAATTCATCAATTTCAACTCGCCATGCATTCAAAAAAATTATTTTCTCAAATCTAATTTAATATTAGTATATATTTGTTTTTTGTGAATAAAAAGGCCTAAGTTATTGTCATTCATTGTCATTTTGGGAATAGAATAAAATAAAAATAGAAAATAAAATAGTAAAGGTAAATACCTCTCTAAAATACAGTTCTCTAAGACCGAGGCCTAAGTTTCTTGAATGACATAGGGGTAAAATTAAAACAAGAAAATTTTTTTTAAATGTCAACGCAACACATCTCATGTTACAAGTGAAACAAAAACACGACACCGAGTGCATAACCTTAGCTCACACACAGGGAAGGATCATGACAGATGACAGTAGAGGCCATGGTGAAGGCCCTCACCCGGCATTGGAGTATAACGATTATTAACCAATTGGTTATACCTTCCGCAGAGTGTTTGTATGCCTGAAGAGCTTGGCTCATCGGTCCAGGAGGTGATTGTGACCAACGCTGAGAAACTGCAACTGAGTGAAGGTGTGTGTGTCAACGTTACAATCATTAATGTACCCGACGTTGATTTGGTGAAGAGCGAGAGGGACCACTGTGGGCCTCATCTCAAATTCTCAGCTAGACTATCAACCTTGGACAGATTACCGAGCCAATTTAGTCATGTCGAACTAAAACATTGCATCGTCACCTCGCTGGCCACATCCATCAATATCACAAACCTCATTGTCGCCAATTCCAATGTTACGACTCTCGACCTCGCCAGCCCTCTACAGCAAGGCGTCTCAGTTGATTTGATCTCAACCAAAATAGAAACTCTCACGAAACTGCACGTAAAGAAAGGTTCAAATCTTCAGATTCTGAAATCATCTGTGGATCATATTGCCTCACGGGGGCTAATTATCGAGGGCAACGTCGTCTTGAATGAATCGTCGACAAATACGTCACTGAAAGACAGTGTCGTTATGCTTCCTGGAGCTACACTGGCCCTTAACAAGCACGCTGGTAACCTGGAAGTAATGGCCACATTACCTGAGTCCTGCAACCAGTTACAACATAATGAGCCTTCTACAGGTTACTTCATAGCATTTGTTGTATGCCTCACATTAATGTTCCTTGTGATTATAGCTAGCGTCATATACATTTTTGCAGTTCAAAAGTCTACCTGGTCCTTCAACAAAAATCAAAATGGTGCGAGAGGCAATGATCTTTCCAAGAGAGATCCAGAACGACCTTAGATGGTGTAGCGTTTACTAGTTCTGCCGAAGTAACACCGGAGAATGAATTATTCGAGACATTAGCAAACTGTTAGAGAAAGGTTTAGCAAAAAAAAAAAATGCAGAAAGAATTGGAAAAGCCGAGAAAACTCTGCAAGAGGTACAGGAAGAATTAGACTTGTATGATAAACAGGTTATAGTAAAGGGAACCAGAGGGAAAGGGAACCAATTATACTTGATCAATACATAGGCGAACATCTACAGAAAGTGTGCAACATTGCAGATCAAGTATTGAGCCTCTGGGAACACTCGCTCGTGTTTGGAACATTTATATTTGACCCCGGCAAGTGGCTGAGCTTTTGTCAGAATCGAATAAAGAAGCCGGAAAATTTATGAAAAGTTAGCCTTAAAAACAGAATGACAAATACGAAGAAAGTAAAACCTTATCAAGCGAAAAGATTGAGAATGAACGTAAGCTACTAGACAAAACCTTATAGAAACCTTGAAAGGAATATGTGAAGCATATGCTGCACAATACGACCTAACATTCCACAACCTAGATGTGCTGTGATTGTTTTTAACTCACAAGACTCATTTTATCCAGATCCAAATGTAAAATTACTAGTAGGAGATTCCAGTAAAATTTTTGTTATTACTATTGTTAATGGCGTTCAAGTTTTGTGCATGAATGTATAAGTCGAAACTTACTGTGTATGTTATCGCCGTGTGTTGTGTATTGAATCAGCGCTGCTCTGTGCACTTTCTTACACTGTGGAGATTGATGTGCACATATCTTTTGTGCTTATTACAGAATCTCTTATTTATATTTATTGTTTTTTTAGTTTTATTTATACTATGTCTTGATTTGATGTAACTTGGGGGACTGTGCATTTGTGTATGGTTCCAGGATTATTCTCTTGTTTTTTGTTTTAATTGGCTTATGGATAGTGTTAGGATATTACTTTGAAATATGATTGTTCGATGTTTTTATTCAATCTTCCACTGTTCTGGGTGTTTTTAAGACAGTATCTTTTGGCTAGGAAGTGGTTTACCAGCTTTTTATTGAACATACTGTTTTTTTTAATAACTAAAAAATTGAGAAGTAAGCTGGTTATTTTGATGATACGGATTCTCTCAACAAATTAAAAGAAATGGCAAATTAAATAAAAAAATAAAATATAATAAAATGCATTAAAATTAAAAAATTATTAGTTCAAGAAAAGTCAGATTTATAGCTACATTTTAGTATTGTCATTGTACTCTTGTTTATAATTGATATTATTCAGGAATTGTCAATGATTGTTCATTGTTGGGCCGTATAGATATTGTACAAAGTTAAATTAGAAGATTTGAACCCTTTAAATGTAACTTAGAAAATATGATAATTGTACTGAAGAGACTTTTTGTGTATTAGCCATTTGTGATTTGACTTACCCACCTGGCCTTCTCTTTGTATCTTCTAATGAAAAGTGTGTGAATAAATTCTTCAAATACAGGACGAGCAGTAAACCAGAACAATTCACATAAAACAAATGTGTTACATAAATGAGATTAATTTTATTATTCGTTAAGGTACACTTCACTACGAATCTTTGCCAAAGTGATCATTATTAAATATGTACAAAGAGGATCCTTAAAACAAATTAACAAATATAACTCAAATGAATACATATATATAGAAAATGGTGTTGAATATACCTTTAGGGAGTGGGAGGTGGGGGGGGGGGAGGATCTGACTGGACGATGGGAGGGGGGGGGGAGTAGAAGGGAAGATGGGGTGGGAGAGAAGAGGAGAAACTGGGGGTAGGAGAAGATAGGGGAAAGGAATGGTGAAGATGGATAAAGGAGAGGAAAAGGGAAGATGGAACAAAACATGTAGTGTTGCCAAGTAGGTGACAGAGTAGCTACTCCTCTATATAGCTACTCTATCATCACAACTCTACAATAGAGTGAACCCTGCTTTATTAATGGTAAACAATGATTAGTGCTTCCATATTGGTGAACAGTATTTACTAGTGGAAGCTTATGACTATATATTACATTGCCTTAGGTTTCATTTCATTAGGTTTTTAATGCAAATTGTTTCAGAAGTGTGTTGCTTATTTCACTGTGTTCAACTACATATTATACTGCATATGAAGTCTACTGATATTTATAATTAATTTTGCAAAATTAAGTCAAGTAACAGTATCATAATTTAGCTAGAATTTTCAGTTATATATTTTAAATTTCATTACTATTTAATTATTTCAAAGTTAACAAAGTTGTTTACAATATTATATACCAGTGTATGAGGCTCATATTATGTATAAGGCTCAATTTATATAGCTAGTTATTATAAATTTATATGTAACTAGTAGTAATAAATTTATATTTATTAATAATATATTTATATTCAACTATTCATAATAAATATCCTTCCAAAGAACTCAACAACGTGTATTTAACCTTTATCTGCAATAATGTTACCATGAAATCGAAATGGTGATGTATGTAAGGGTAAACTTTCGAAGCAGGAAGCAGGTTCCTTACACCATCTTGCTCAAAGATTTTCTCATATTATGCTATCTCTAAAAGGAGAGAACGAAAACTATCACCTTTACATAATAAATAATGAATCTTGTAGAGAAAGTTCATGATTGAAGTCAAATGTAAACTCGAATTACATGTGCAACAATGTGGATTATATATATATAATTTATATATATATATATATATATATATATATATATATATATATATATATATATATATATATATATATATATATATATAATAAAGGGAGTACCACCTCTGGCTGGAAGAAGAGGGACCTATAGCCTCGGAGGAAACCACACATAACGCATTGGAGGGAATGTAGGTCTCCTCCAATACAGTTTGTGTGCTTTTCTCCTACCACCCCCTTCTTTTTTTTTTTTTTTTTTTTTTTTTTTTTTTTCTTTATTGTGTGTTTAAAGGTTACAAAACATACAAGACAAATGCCCAAAGGTTATGGATCTCTTGAAGCTCCTCCGCTTCCGGACAGGAACCGAGGACGCAGCAAGCATTTTCCCTCTGGATCGCCACACTGAGGCGCTGAAACAAAAATCTGGAAGCCCTTGGGTCTCTGGTGACGTCAATGAGCTTGGAACCCAATTCCTTGAGAAATCCCAAGGCACTCTTGCCCCAGGGGCCATGCGTCTCAGACGCAATGGGAACAAAGAGGTATTGACCTTCCAGTCGCCTGTACTTGAGTGATTTAGCTGTTTCCTGTGGTTGGCCGCCCCACCTGCTTGATCAGCTCCGAAGTGTACATAGGTGTCAGCCAGGGTGGATACACATGTGTAGTCCCACACCAACTATCTACCCTCCTTCCATGAGTATATGGTGATCCCATCAGGGCGGAGTGCGGGGAAATCCGGGTTTTGGACCCCTAGGATGCGAGGTTCTCTCTCCGCTGGGCGCCTAGCTGAGATGAGGCTTCTCTTGATGATGTCATTGACCTCGTTGTGTCTTGCATGCCAGCCCTTTGTGCTTCCGCAATGCAACCCATGCAGTATATACTGGTCTGCTTCCACCCTGTTGCAAATACACTTGTATTCAGTGTGAATTGGGGCACCAAGGTGGAGGGCCACTGCTACACGAAGGGATTCTGGATCTAGGTGTGTGCCCATTGCTGACATGGGTACTGCCAGGAGGAAGTCTCCTGCATGGGGGGCACGCACTGCTCTGAGGCGGGCTTTCTCCTTGTCTGATGTTGCGGCGCTGAGCATGGCATCAGCAACTTTTTCCACTAGAGTGGAAAAAGTAGGTGGGTGGTCTGGGTGGTCCCAGCCAGACTGTTTGTGTTGTTTTGTTGGCTCTATAATGGTTGCTGGGGCTGCAAGAACATCCCACTGATTTGAACATTCAGTGAAAGCAGGATCGTGTATTCCTCCTCAATCTCTCAGGGTTGCAGGTATGATATCTCTGACGAGGTCGTGCGATGCATGGGAGGAGGAAAGGAAGGCTGGTAGAGCAATTTGGGAGGCTGTGCGGACACCAAGGCCGCCGAGTCTTACAGGAAGGGTTGCTTGCTCCCACTGAGAGTCGTCCAATGGCAGGTTCAGGACTTTCACCAGCATGGACCTCAGAAGGGTGTCATACACATTTAACTTAGGGCTGCTGTAGGATGGAGGACATCTCAGAAAGTAGGTCAACTTAGGGAGAGACAGGCATCGTGTGAGGAGAAAGAGAGCATCATGGGCATTAATCTTGTCAATCCTGTCCTGCATTCTCTTTAGATCAGTGATTTTTGCAGCCAGGACCTCCTCGATTGCTCGTGGGCCAATGTGGGCACCCAGGAGAGTGCAGTCCGGTGGCTCGACAGCGAGAATGTCTGGAAGAACATTTTGTATTTGCCAGTGATGTCTGGGTTCCGGGAGATTATTTTACATTTGGATGCATTGAGAATGAGGCCTAAGGCTGCTCCCTGCTCCTGGATTTTCCTTATATCCTCCAAAATGGTTTCCGGGGTTCCAGCGAGAGTGCCATCATCCAGGAACCAGATATTTAGCTCACTTGTCAGACTATCAGTGACCTCTTTGATAGCTAGGCAGAAAAGGAAGGGGGCTAAGGGGTCACCTTGTTGGACACCTTCACAGGAGTTTATTTCATGCTCCCCAAAAAGAAGCTTAGAGTCCCCACTGTAGCACGGACGGATGAATGGGTAAAGGGGACGGAAATGGTTGTGTACGGCCGTGAGGACAGAGTCTCGTCTGACTTGATTGAAAGCATTTTTGAAGTCAAGCTTTACTAGTGCCTTCTGGTCCTGGAGATCAGCAATGTAAGCCCGCGCTGCATGTGCTGCAGCATCACAACTCTGGGAATCCCTAACCCGAGCTGATAAGGTTTCAGCAAGCTGGCTGCTTCCTGGCTGATAGATCTCACTGCAGCCTTAACTGCGAGGCGTCGGAGGGTGTTGCCAACGGCAATGGGCCTGATACCCCTATCCTTCTTCTTTAGAGCACAGAGTGCTGCTCCATAAATGACAGGCCTGATGTCCTCAGGGATGCCGCCAACCAAACACATGTTGGAGAATCTGGTAAGTTCCACTAGAAGGTCCTTTGCAGCATCTCCAAGCACCGGGTTCAGCATTTGTTTGATGTGCTGGGGTCTTAGGCCTGTAAAGCCCCCTGCTGAACCTGTTGGGAAAGACATAGCTGCTTTGTACACCTCAGATTCTCGA